TCTCCTCTGCCCCCCTGAGTTTTTCTTGTAAACTTGGTTTCTTCTTTAGTTCAACAGTCTACATACATTATCTTAAGTATAATTTTCTCATCTTTATTGTATAAGAGGGAGGGCTTCGCTTCACAGATGTAACTGCATAACACTCATTAAAGACGAAGGGTGGAAGTGTAAGCCGAGTTGCAGAAACCATCAGGGTCACCCTTAAACGAAGGGCAGCCTATTAGAGCATATCACCCTAAGCCCTCACCCCCCCTCTTCATTTCATTGATGAACTTATTGATTTCTGTGTTTTTCCAGGGCAAAGGCAAAATGAGAACGTATTGGCTTCTGGGAGAGAAGACTGATGTGTATGTTATCTGAGAAGCCTGCTGATAACGCCACAGCAGGAGCGCCGGTGGCCGAGCGAGCCCATACTTTATTTGTTCTAGAATAAGTCCTTATTGGTGATTTCCGTGCAGAGGAAAAGAGAACGACATCATGTGACAAAAACAGAGGGGAATTCCAGGTATTTTTTATTACCTGCATACTGTAATTGAAAAAAAAGAAAAGACTAGAAAAAAAAATTGTAAAAGTTGTTTTTTGTATGAAGAACCTTCCTGTCCTGAGAGTGAGTACTTTTCACTGATAAATTCTTATTTTTTGTGCTTTCTATATTAAGATTTGTATAATGTGTTTGGAAGTCAATGATGTATTAATATTTCATCCACTGAGTTTGGAGGCACAGGAATACAATTGATGTCACTGCAGGGTCCATACATAGTGTTACACAGTACAAGCTAATATGTATATATGTATATCCAAGATACTGTAAGATATTTTGTTCAATAAACTGAGTACAACACTCTTTCCCATTTATAGATCAGGCTGTGTTTTCTATGCCTCTGCATGGGGTTGATTACTGAAGTTTAGCTCCAGAGACTGTGCAACTTGAGAAAAGCAGAAAAGAGTTTTAATGGGTCTTTTCTTCCTTGTGTCTCTAGTCTGTCTACAAACCCCCCAATTATTAGAAAAAGTCCATCCCCTTGAGATGAGATGAGATTCAACTTTATTGTCATTACACATATACAAGTATAGAGTAACGAAATGAGGTTTGGCATCTCACCAGAAGTGCAAATAAGCAGAAAGTGCAAGAGTCTGTGCTATGTACAGTAATTGAGTGCAAGAGTCTGTGCTATGTACAGTAATTCTGTGCTATGTACAGTAATTGCAAAATTTACAGATGTAGACAAAAAAAGTGAATTATTAGGTAAATCTGGATGGCTGGATTAATGGGATGCAATAAATATAAATAAATGCTATAAATAAGTAATGCTACAAAATAAGTGTGTTGTTAGGATTATAATATACAGATTAAGATGCAGTGAGCATGCTATACTAATAATATACAGATTAAGATGCAGTGAGCATGTTATACTAATAATATACAGATTAAGATGCAGTGAGCATGCTATACTAATAATATACAGATTAAGATGCAGTGAGCATGTTATACTAATAATATACAGATTAAGATGCAGTGAGCATGTTATACTAATAATATACAGATTAAGATGCAGTGAGCATGTTATACAAGTTTACAGATAATTTAAAGAATATGAACATACTATAATACAATAATACAGATGGATGAGAGATGTGTGTGTGTGACCAGGAGGAGTGGTGGGGGGATGATGGGTGTGAGGTGATATGGAGGGGAAAGGGGGGTCAGCAGGGTGCGGAGAGAGAGAGGGAGAGAGAGAGAGAGAGACATCTTCTGCCTGCTCCACTTTTCAGAAAATGTGTGCTCAAACAGTCCATTTGGAGATTTTCCCTTTGTGACATCACAAAGGGCAGTAACCCCTCCCCCAGGTGGGTGACACTCCCACAGCTAGGTGTTTGTTCTGCCCTCTGAGTCTGCCTTTTCACGGTTAAGAATTGGGCATGGTGGGATGCTGATGGCGCATTGGTTAGTGCGTGCGCCCCATGTGTGGAGGCTTTGGTCCTCCAAGCGGGCGGCCCAGATTCAAATCCCACCTGTGGCTCCTTTCCCGCATGTCATTCCCTACTCGCTCTCCCTGATTTCCAACTATGTCCACTGTCCTGTCTCTACATTAAAGGCACAAAAAGCCCCAAAATAAGCAGATACGGTAGGCTACTTTGAAGTTTGAGATATTAATTTGAGATACTGGACTCTATTCCAGAACATATGGGAGACTGTGTAAAGAGGCTAAAACAGCAGATATTTTTTTGATTCTGGTTTAGAGCCTGACAGTTGATTTCTGAACAGTCTATAAATAATTCACAGATTTTTGGACCAGCAAGTTAAAAGGCTGTTGTGATAATTAAAAGCGTGATAAGATAAAAGCGTGTTAAATCATGTCTTTAAAAGTTAAGATCGTATAAGGTGTTAAAAAATGTAATTTCCAAAGCTTTGTGTTGTGCTGCACTCTGAGAATATCTGGGCTAAATTTCTCTTGATCCCCCCAATGTGTTCATCAACATTTAACCCAGAAAGAATTTATAAATGACCTTGTGCTGTCCAGCTCGAATATTGGATGTCCTGCTGAAATTACACTTAACAGTCAGGGAGTGCTAACAGCATATTGAAGAGGGTTCAGGAGAAGGGCAGATGAAGCTTTTAGGAATGACTACTGCACATTTAAGATTATTTTCATATTTTTATCTTCTATTAAATATCAGCTCTGCAAGTCATGACAATTAGTTCAGGTTTATCCGTCATATATTTGCTTTGTAGCTTTCAGGATGCTCTCAGGGCTGTTATACATTTATTCATGAGATAACGTGTGCCAAACAGATACAGAGAAGTATCTGCAGTCTAAATAACTGCAGGCAGTGGTGGACAGATAAGGAAAGAAGTGAAGAAAAGCGAGTCGGCAGCATGCAGCTGTGTGTTTGCTGTGCTGACATCACCGCTCATTAGATGCTCATTATCAGTTGTGGAACAGGGGCATGGACGCTGTGTGTGGCCATGTGTTGGTGTGTGTGTGTGTTTGTGGCTTTCTTCATCTCTGCAGGAGAACATCTTCTCCTCCTGCACGGCTGTAATTACCGCCCACTTTCTCACAGCTACACACACAGCCGCTGCCTGTTAGCAGCACAGCGAGCAGAGTGAAGGTCTCTGCTGAACCCCCGGCGCAACTACTCATGGCTGACCAGGCTGCCCGTCATCCTGTCCTGTGTTATTTTTCTGCATTTTTACACAGCCCACACCTTGAAATATAAAATATGATAATTCAGAAGTCAAATAATTAATTTAAAATTAATAAAACATCTGACATTTGTTAAAACTTGTATTCACATTTGAATGATGTTTTTCCTTGCACATGCTCTCTTTTAATGAAACTACACCAATCCCATCAAGTGAACAGTTTGCACCAAAGGACATTTTTTTTCCAGTTCTGCCTGTTTTTTTAATTTACCCAACTTTTTGTTTTTAAACTACAAGTGTCTCGTACTTTCTTTGACTATTTGTTTTAAAAGGATGAGCAGGGAGAGAGAGAGAGTGTGCATTGGCAGGCAACTTCTGCTGGACTCAGATCTTGGATGTTTTAAATAAATGGTCAGCTGACTGGGTTAAGACTGGCAACTTTTTACACATCATGACAATAAGTGGGAATTTTTGCAGTTGGTTTGTCCGTTTTTAAAATGTATCTTTTTTGTATTTATCATATCTGTGTAGACCTCCTCTATCAATCTATCAATCTGTTCATTGCTCCTCACTAACAGTCGTACTGGCAGGATTTCATGGCTTGTGTTTGAATGTGTAGTTAGCACAGAGGGTTTCATGATTAAAAATGAGTCACAGAGCTAAACATCTGAATAATAAATCGCCAAAACCAAACTGCATTTCTCAAGGTGTTTCTACAATCCAAAATAAACGTTTCTAATCATCCGCAGCAAAACAAAACATTACTTTCACTAGTTTTCCAAGTTACAACTCTATTTCTGAATCCAAAGACATGAGAAATGACATGATTGTGTGAAAAGATTGAACTGTTGGGCAAGAAAAACTGCATTACGCTTAAATCACTTGTCGCCATAGCTACCACCGACTTTTCTGGGCTGAAAGCTTAAAAAAGCTGCAGTGAAGCAGGATATTGACCTCTGATTTCCACAACCCATGTAAATGTGTTGCATACACTATGTGACAGCAATCAATGTGTTGATTCCCATCAGCCCGCAGAATGCCTTTGTGAAGACAAAGAACAATCTTTTGTGCTTGTTCTGAATCCTGAAAGGCTTTGCAGGACAATGGCAAGATCTTTTCCTCGATGCAGAGGAAAATGTGCCTTTTTGTTGCTCTGTTTGATTTCAATAATTACAGGATATGAAAGGCAGGAAAGATGAATGGAGCCTGAACACAGACCAAACTCCTAAATCTGATGAAGAGAGCATAAGGCAACAAGAAAAATCAAGGTCCAGCAACATATTATATAAAGTCTGCTGTCAGCTAGAGAGGCTAGCCAAACTCAACATCTTGTCCAACATATAGCTGCACAAGAGGAAGTACATTAACTTGAATGTGTGTGAAGTTTTAGGAAGTTAAAAAAAAATGTAGATACTTTAATGTTTGTTCTTTTAAAAAGATGCAATCTCTGTTGTTTAAATGATCCATAGTAACCTAAAATATCAAAGCTTTTAAAAAAATATATATACAGACTTCAGTTGTATTTTTAACCGAAGCTGCTGCCAGCGAAAGAGAGAGCACATATTGAACTTCACAAACTGCAATGATTCGTACCTAAATGTTGCCAATGGATTTGTGCAACAGTGTGCAGAAGTCTGCATGCATGTTTGGTTATTCAAAAATAAGTAATCTACCAATACTGTGTACCACTGTTAATGCTTTGGGTCAGAACAGACTAGAACTACACTGAAAGCTATTGATCCTTTATATGCATTCAGGAAGTCGTTTTAAATGCTGCCCTTCTTTTGATTCCTCTGTTCTTCACGTTCTTTTTGTTTTCAGGTTTGACCAACACTAGAGGTTCCAGCATCGCTGAGATGAACATTTAATAGCTCTTTAATTTGAACCCATAATGAATAGATGAAATTTGATCATGTGTCATACTGTCTCAGTTATCAGGTGGGAGCTCAGGTTCGTCCAGACGCTCACTAATGGGTGTGCTGAACTTGGCTGACTTCCTGAAGGGAGCTTCCAGGGTCTGCACGGCGGTCACACCCTGTGACAAATAACACAAGAATAATGTTATCAACCTTTTACTGAATCTGACTGAACTCTGAACTGTGCAGGATTTGTTCGCAAAAGATGTGAAGGGTCCAAAAAAATCGGACACCAGATCATAATAAAAGACACTCTGCAAAGAGCAGAGAGGGAATAATCAGGGAAAGAGCACCACACAAACTCTATAATTATCCTCCTGTTGGCCAAGGTACATCTGTGCATCATTTCTTAAGAGCTGCTGTTGCTGCACTCTCCTCTGACATTATGTGGAGCCATTAGTGACTGCAGGTCATTTTCAAAAAGGACCCTCAACACAAACTAGAGACAGAAGGATTCAGCATCAGGTAGATTAACGCCAATAAATAAATCATTTAAGATTTAATTGTAAAGAAACTGAAGCTATTTCATATTTTTCTATCATCCACCCACAAAGAAAATGACAACAACATAAAAATGGTACTATCCATATCTAAAAAAAGGAAACTTCTCACTCACATGTATCTGATGGCGGTTTTCGCTCCAGAATGTAACCCCTGCGTCAGATTTATAATCGTGAGCCTGGAAAAAAACACAAGAACAAACACTGTCAGATGAACACCATGGCAAGGAAAGTTCATTTTTACAGCACCATTCATTCAGACATCAGCTCAAAGAGCTTTACAGTATTCAACAACTCCGTACAGCCGTTAAATGCAAACAAAACAAATTATTTTCTGCTTACATCGCCTTCTAAAACACACAAAATATTAGAAACTTATTTTTAAGATAACTCGTCAGTTACACTAGCATGCAACAAAAAGATGAGCTTGATTTACTTTTTTTCCCCAAAGCGCTATGACCTTTAATCTAAAGATGATTTTCTGATTAACTATCTCTCACCTCAGGTCCAAAAACACTTCAATGATTCAAGTAATACTGAGCTGATCCCAGAAAGCGTTTGACACATAAAAATGACTTTAAACAATGAAACATTTGTCAGGCTTGCAGTTATTGCTGTCTTCAAAATGTGTTTTAAACGAATCTACAGGTCAACACATCTTGGACCCTTGTGTAAACCAAGTGTAAGATGATTTCATGACATTTCTAGGAATCTGTTTCAAGATAACACAACACGAAACGTTATTCTTCTGCTTTTATGGTTACTGAGAAAGGAGTCCTTCAATAATGCAGAGTCCTCTATTTAATGGGTGGCATTCATTCTTCAAGGACATCACATTGTTTATTTCTCAAAGGATCTGAGGAGCAGGCTGTTTGCAATGCTCATACGTCTGGTTTGTATTGTTTGTGACACTCTTAATGCACTTCTTTATCTGAGTTCTGATTGTCTGTGGCAATTGACAAACCTTTTAGATGCAAAAAAGAGAGAAGGGTGTATGGGTAGAAATCTGAAGCTGTCGGAAAAAACTGAGAGAAATAATCACTCAGTGACGCAAAGAAACAACTACAGTTACATCTGTACAGATACAGTCTGTGCATTGAGAGTGTACAAACTGCAGAAACATGTAAGGTTGAAGTTTAGACCAAAAAAACCATTTACCTGGTCTAGACACCCCTCATTCACAGAGAGAGCAAGATATTGGGATTAACTCAAGATTGGTAGTATACTGCACTCATTCTACTGGGATTACACACAGGTGTTCTAATAATCTGTCTGTACCCAGTTTATACTGAGAGATTATTAGTGATTACAGTACACCACACACACAGTCTAATACTGCAGCTCATTTTCTTTCAGATTTGAAAGCTTTTGCTCTCCATCACTGCAGCTCAGAACATCATTAGGCACATCATCTCATTGCATATAAAGTAAAGCACCCATAGTTTGGATGTTGTTGCCTGTGAATGGGTTATAATTAAGAACGCTGCCTCTTTCAAATGAAAGTGTTTACAGCTGCAAAGCAGAGCACTGTTCCAGCAGCAGGGGCTTTCTTCTTTGGTTTGTACTTAAGTGTTCAAATCAGCGTGAAGAGGAGAGCATCATGATGTTTCATTTAGGCTGTAAGCTTTTTGAGAACACCAACGGCTATTTAAAAAAAAAAAAGTGTTTCTTTTGTTGTTTATTAAACATTTTGAGGTAGAAGAAAAGCATCTTTGTGTCAGCAAGGAGACAGTGATAAATAAATAAACAACTGTGCCCTGACCTCATCTTTTTAACATCTTCAAACTTTAACTCAATGGTTGATTCCATTTGACATGATGTTGAGGTTCAAGACTGCCCTGACTGCAATGCAACTCACAGTGAAGCCATGTGTTGCTTTCTTCATGTGCATTAACATACTGTCTGATGTAAAGATGATTGAATAAAGTCATTCTTTTTCCTGGTTTGATTCATAATAATTTGCAGGAGCTAAGACAGATACTCTACATCTATTACGAAATAAGCAAATTTCCATCCTTTGAAAAAAATGGAGCCTTATATAATGATTTATCATCTCCTAGCTGTTATAGTCGTCAATTAAAGAAGATTTGATCAGAACTCTGTTGATGACACACACACACACACACACACACACACACGTCTTACTTGTGTTAGTTCAGGTGTGAGCGGCACAAACCCCTCCACACAGAAATCCCTCTGAGTGGTGGAGCAGAAGTCACTTTCTGCCGGGGGGGCGCTCTGTTCAGCTTGAATCTTTTCCCTGTGAAAACAAAGTGCACCTATGACACACTCTGCATCTTATCTCAACCTGTTACACAGTACATTGGGAAATAGTTTTTGATTGTATTTCGTCAGAGTTAATCTGAAAGTCAAAACTGATAAAATGAAGTTAATGTTCACAAAAAAACTAATATTTGAGCGAGTCTAGAAATCTGTTCATCTGATCGGATGTTCTGCTTATCAGGCAGTTATGAAACACAGAAGTGAAAACCAACGCAGTAATGTATCCACAGAGATGCTGAAGGTGTCAGTGAAGTAGCCTTTACAGGTGTAAGAACATGCCAGAAGAGTAAAGCAGATACCGTCTGTTCATGCCCAAACAGTCCTGAGAAAAGAGTCTAATCAGTGCAAACAACTGTGTGGGTGAAACAGGCTGATGATGTAAGAAATGCATAAACCTTGAATCTTTGATTTACACTTGAGATGGGGTATTTACTCCTAACCTGTTCCTAACCGACCAGTCAGAAAAGGTTCTCTCAGTTTGAGATGATTGTAACCTGGTATGATTCAAGTAGCATTGGTGTGTTCTTATAAAGTTCAGGAAACCCAGTGTATGGTTCAAGACCGAGTGATGAGACAGCGTCTACTGCTGCTCCAGCCACTTTCATCGAAGACATGATGCTTTGTGTTCTTTATGAGCAGTTAACTCATGCGGGGACGTTAATAACCACATCTGTGGGGATAGACTCCATAAACCCAATTAGGATGACTGGCCTCCATGTAAAATAACATCATAAAGTGTGATTTAAAAGGTATTACAGCTGTGATTGAACAGTAAAACAAACCCAGACGTGTAAATATTACATCACTTTCCTCCGACATGTTTCCCTCTCGGCATGGTCAGGCGGTGTTCTCCGCTTCCATAAACAAACCGCTTCCAGCAATAATTTATCCGCATCAAAAAAACTGGTTTCATAGTTGATTTACCTTATCATCAGGGTGATATGTTTTTCCAGAAGCTCACTCCTGATGCCTGAACATTGGGAATAAAAGAAAGAAATGAACTTAGCACATACGAAAAAACTACCATAAAAAAAAAAAAAAAATACAATCAGAAATTAACTAAAAAAGGTCAAAGCATCTATCATCAAATATCCTTTAAGGAACTCACGTTTGAATACAATCCTTTTTAATTCTAGTCTGTTTTAAGCTACAAAAAGAGAGAAACGTTCTGGCAGTGAAAGATAAAGATACACACCCCTCTCCCGCACCCCTGGGCCCTTCGGAGGGAGGAAGTCTGTTCTGTGTGTGGTCACAGTCTCCATTTTAGTGTCCTGGTCCAAAGTGAGAATCCCTTTGTGACCTTGTCTTTGGATCTGGAACCTGTTCTCCGCCTGGCCAAGGGCAGCGACAGCCCTCTGGATACAGAGACATTTAGGATCAACATGAAAACACACATCTACTCTCTAAAGCCATCAGCGGAAAACTTCCATAACAAAGCCTGTAATGTATAAGACTGTGTCTTGTTTTGATTTATCAGAGAAAAGTCTTTCATGTAGGCTACTTGATTTATCTTTTCTTATTTTACTTTGCATAGAAAAAAGATCCACAAATGTCTTGATGTGTCTTTGTTTTGGATTATATTTGACAGGATGTAACCATTCCTCAGCAAAAATGTTGAGATAAAGTTAAGGATAAGAGTGGCTTTAGAGTTTATCATCATCTTTCCAAATAGGTTACTGCTGTGTCACTAATACACATTATTAGGCCTTTTGACTTTTTGAAATAGAACTTCCCAGAGCATTTAGACTTTTTTAACACATTTGAAATGTTACTATATCACAGTAACAGTCCACTTGACTAACATGTGTAAACACGTTTCTAGTTCTGGTTTCTGTTGAGTCACAAAACACAACATGACACCACATACCAGTAATAAAAGCAATTCCAATTCAGTTTTACGAAAAGGTACAGTGTTACTTCGATAGGTTTCACTAACAATATACTCTACAATGTAGAGTCTACATTACATCTTCATGTTTTAGTTACTTCTTGTTAACGGTTTGCCAAACAGACTGACGTTGCCAGTTAGCATTAAGCTAACTTCACTCACCTCCTCCGCCCAGTTGTGCAACATACATCTCCCAACTTTATGTTCCCCGGTGGCTGTTTGTTCTGTCATTTTAGCACTAAAACGAATTAATAATGACAAAAACTGCTCATGCACAACATGCACTAAAAATCATCACAAGACGGAATCTCCTTCTGTGGCAACGGACTTAGCGACACTCTTCTGTTGACGGAAGTGTCGCCATGACAACGGCCTTCTTTCTATGGTACATGGTCAGAAAGAAAGAAAGGCACTTGTTATTCTTGCTTTGTCAAATAAAATAATGTTGCAACTTTAGTGCTACTCTTTTATTTCTTCATCACATATTGTTCCATTTCTACATGTCCTTCTCAATTTGCGTATAAAACAGAAAATGTGCCATTTAACCTATAACCACTGTATTTCCCCCACATTATTTGAAGACTAAACTTATTGCAATCACCTTTTCTGCCTCACCTTTTAAAATGTTTAAAAATAAATAACATAAATAGGATAAATGCATTTTATTTTACCTCCAAACTTAAGCCTCCAAAAAGTTTGAAGCAATGTAAAATTCTAAAAGATCATTGTGACAATACACAAACAGACTCAGGAATAACCTTTGGGTTTAGACTGTGAGTTGGCAGCTGAAGGCCCCAAAAAATGTAGTAAGGGAGCTTTGACTGGAGTCATTTCTGAAACATCCTGTCTCAAAGGTCCAAAAGAATGAATGTCCACACTAAAGAAATATGACTGTGTGTAAGGAAATTAACATTTACTTGTCATTTGCTTTGTAAATTTAATGAGATTAATGGTTGTAAAATTGACTTAAAAACCCTCCAAAATCAATCCTTAAATAGAAAAGAAAATTGTGAACATGAAAATCCCCCCTGTTGTACAAGGTCAGAGTTCAATAGTCAGTCAATAATAATACATTTTGACTGAATATCAGCTTCTAATTTGAGTTGAAAAGATTGTGTATTTTGAATTTGTTATCCATCATCCGTACATTCTTGAGCAAATCAACTTGGCACTGAATCACATTTTCCATCTTCTACCTGCAACCTGCCTTGTCCATCTTTGAACTTCTCCTCACATTTCTGTATGCACTGTATCTCTCTTGTTTCTACCCTGAAGGTGAAAATAATTACCTGCCAAACCAAAAGAACAGCATCAACATTTTGGCTAAAAGGTGAATTTGAGAGAGCGTTTATATTTTCTCAGTAACCTTGTTGAATCACTAGTTCATTGAGAGGACCATCAAATTTATTCATATTGAAGAAAACCCAGCTATATTTAACTCTTGCTTGTTACCGTGGCTATGAGACACAGAAAAAACCACAGAGTCTGTTGCCGAGAAACAGCAGAGGAGTTTTTTTCTCCGTCAGGCAGCCAGCCTGTCTGGATCAGTGTACAGGCTCAGCATGAAGCGCTGTCAGACGTCTAATTAATGTTTTATGGACGCTTGACTGTCAAACTGTGCCTCATCATGCCACACACACTAATAGGTGTCCACCCATTATTTTACATCAGTCATCTGTGATTATGTTGGTGGTAAATACCACAAGAACTGAAGTTTGTGCTACTATTAAAACACAATGAGACGCTGAAGTTATTTTCGATCCAGGGATGAGGTAGTCTCACAGCATTGTGAGGGGATTTTAGAATTTTTAGTTTTAGTTTAAAAATGTCACTTTAATTTAATCTTAGTAGATAACACAGGTCAATGAAACTTGATTAATGTTAATGTAATTGTAAATGTATAATGTATGATTATTTAATGTATTTATTGTCACATGGACACATAGGCAAAACAAAAGACCAGCTCATAAAGAAAGAGGATGTGTTACTTCTGCCTAATTAAAAAAAGAAAATAGTAGTGCCGTTGGCCCCAATGGTTATGTCGCCACCCACTGTACAGAGACTGTAGTCCTTGTTACATCGGCTGTGGGTTCAAGTCCGACCCCAGCCCTTTCTGCATGTCATCCACCACTCTCTCCTCCCAGTATTTCCTGTCTCTCTTCAGCTGCCCTGTTTAATGATGGCAACCCCCCCATAAAAGTTTTTTTTACATCAGGGTGTAGCATGGATTAAGTGATATATAAATATAAATAGTGCATCTTTTTTTATCATTTTGATTCCAGCATCCTTTGCACTACTATTGGCTCACTGTCTCCAACTGTTATTGTTGTTTTTATTTTAATTTCTGTAGGCTCATATGGAAAGCCTAACTTAAATCAGTTTGTGTCACTTTCGTTGAGCGAGTTGTCCTTTCCTAAGTGTTATGTCCATTTCTGTTTGAGTACTCTAAGAAAAAATGTAAAACTGGAGTCAAATTCCTCCAGTGAAGTTAATTGTGATTCAAACTAAACTTGTGATTGGTCCATAGAAATACTGACATCACCTTTACTGTTAAACCAGTTTGAAAAGCGGAAGCAACCCAAAAAGGACTGGAATAAAATAATGAATGAAGAAAATATTGAGTGTGCATTTGACCATAAAATGAATCAATGAAGGCCTTTTTTTTTCTTAGAGTAAAAGGATGTTTCAGTGTTTTAGGTCCTTTTCCGTACAAACATTTACAGCATGAGCAGTCCCTCTCTTTTTATTGGCCAACAACGGTTCAGAGATTCTTCCCAAAGCAGATACAGAATTTCAATAAAGAATCTCCAAAGCTTAAACTCCTAAACACGGAGCAGCATTCCCTCACACAGCATTAGCATTCAGATTTATGTGTGGTCACTGAGGCGAGTGTGAGCTGGATGTGGATCCAATTCTCCCAATCCTGCCCTTGTAGTTCATGATTTCATCCCTCCATTGAACAACAACAGGCTGGATGAACTTCTTCAGGGGGTTTTCTGTGTGTGTGTCTCTCCCCCAGGTTTCTATTTTTATACCACATAGTGACTACATGTTGACTATCATCTCTATGACTACCAGCATCTCTGCAGAAGTATTGATGAGGTATGAATGTGTCCGACTGTTTGTCTCTCTTAATAGTTAGAGCTCATATGGGCTTCCACTTTGGAGATGTCACTTTCTACTCCAGGCCCAGCTTTCATGTCTTTACTTTCATCTTCCCCCCCACTCACATCCTGACCTTCATACTGACTCTGACACCCTCATGCCATGATGAGAATAAGCCTAAAAGAAGCTAAAAGCTGACTTTGGCTTTCATCTTCTGGCTCCTTAAAGTTTGTCTGCAGAGGTGTGCCATCCTTATCACATCTGTGACATGGAAGGACAAGACATGGTCATTTCATGAGCTCTTTTTTTATCATGAACGTCTCTTACCTCTGACTGATCAAAGAGAAAATATAGAGGCAGAAACAGCTCTCATTTTTCTTCCATCAAAATCAAGGATTGTTTCCATGTTGTTAGACATTTCTGTGGCTTTTTGTCTTTAATAAGAACATCTTAGTATCAAGCTATAGTTGTGTAGACACAGGGTCCTTGTGCTTAATTCTACAGACAAAACTCTGATTGGCTGAGAGATGTGGTCCATTTTTGGTTGTTAGAGGATAGAGGATATTTGTCTTTATGCCTCTTTAGGCATACTTTTCTGTTTAGAACATTTAAACTTAGTTAAGTGAGAAGTAAACATGACATAACACTTTTGATTTTTTGAAGCCCTGATTTTGGCATTTAGCTGTCCCCATCTGGATGTTTCAGTAAGACGAGACAATATTCAGACAGGTGAGTAGAGCCAATAGGAGCAAAGGGGAATTTTTCAGCCAATGAAAGCGCTGGTATCTGTAAAGTAAGTTAATCAGGTGCTAATTTGTTCTAACAATAAAGCGGCTAAGTTTAGTTTAGAAACAAAAAAACAGCTTACCCATCAGAGTTTCCTTTAGTACAATTGAACTCCGAACAATGCGGCCCAGCCCTAAATGTATCTTGAGCTATCATTTATTTTGCTGCAAATGGGACCATCTGTCAATACTTATCCTGTTTGGAGTCCTGGGGGGCTATAGAGCTGATCTGTTCTCTCAGAGACAGAAACCATTCAGTCAATCACAGGGCTGACATGTAGAGACAAACGACACAAAAGGCAAGGCACTAGGGACAAAGGTAATTAAGCAACAGATAACAAAATGTATATGAGAAAATGTAACGACAATAATTCAATGTAAAAAGAAAGATTGCATTCTTTAGCACATTGATATGGTTAAGTGAATATTCTGACAACATTGCACAATTTAAACCAGAAATTAAGATAAAAAAAAATCATAGCAAAATACATTACTTTGGAAATATATTAAGAAAGAAGAAGGCTCTTTTTTAAAAAAAATTCCTGTATAGTTGGATTTTTTGTTTTACACCAGTGGAGTTGCCCCCTGCTGGCCTGAAAAGACATACAGTTGTTCAGCACCTCTGCTTTAGCTTTACTTTTCTGACCCAGAGGCTTCGTCCACTTCATATACATAGTCAATAGTCTCACTACTCTTATTAACCTTGAATAGAAGTGGGAAGGCCTAGCTGTTATTATCACATAAGCTTCAACTGACTCACTGCTATGTGTCCATAGACAAACAGCAGGCAGACAAATGAAGTGTGTGTCAGGTCAAGAAAGTGCAAAGACAGATATATAGCTGACACCAACAAATGGAAAAAAGAGACTAAATAGTAAACGTACATTCATAGGGTGCTGAAAAACATGACTCAAAATGTATAATGAACTACATTATCTGTGCTGTAGGTGAGTAGACTGCGATTTTGCTAATGCATTAGCATAGAACCAAAAGAAATGGTTATTTATCCGTGAAATAAGATACTCAAAAAAGTACTTTGGAAACAGCTTATCTTCTCTGTGCATGTTGTGGGACAGAAATCTTTAACCTGTCTGTGAGAAATCTTTAACCTGTCTGTGAGAAAGCAAAGATTTAAATCGCTAAGACCTCAGAATGGATTGGCAGGACGCTACGTGTTGGAATTTCAACTACATAATTCAATTTGTGGCGGTTAATACATTCACTGCTGTCAGATCTGTGTCTTGTATTTACCTAGCTGGAATAACACTTTAGCCTGCGCCGTATGGCACGCTGCTCAGTGTTGTGAAAAACGAGGCACTGCTGTGCTGAAGGTGTTGGTGTTATGTATGTCGTCTCTCACCAGAGGAGTCGAGGCCATGTGTTTTAGTTGGCGCTCATAAATGTAGTCAGCTGGTCAGCACATCTTGGCTTCAGGTCTTTTTTTTCCCCCTTTCTTCTTCTTTTTTGACAGTGTAGCACCGTCTGTCTCACACAAACACCTTTAGCTGGTGACTGCTCCCTCACACCCGAGGGCAAACATGGAAAATGTTCCCGACTTCTACAGCTCTGTTTTCCAGGAATGTAAGGAAAATGATCTGGTTATTTTAATCAAATCTATGGTACTCGTTGTCAAAGTACGTTTTATTATCCCTTTTTTTAATAGAATTCAAAAGGATTCAGTATAAGTTGGCCATTCCCCAAATACAATAGTCAATGAGACAGAACTTTAAGGTTCCTTCAAACATGTTTTCTGCTTCTGCCAAAAGGAACTTCCAACACATGGTTAACATATGCAAATTGTAAAAGTTTGTGGTCAACTGGTGAAAGTCATCTGTTTGACCAATTCATCATTCACCACAATATTATGCAGAGGCGCTTCTTGTCAACAGGCAAGGCAGGCAACTGCTTGGGGCCCCAGGCCAGTAAGGGGCCCTCGAAAGGCTGACAAACTTTAAACCGCAGCAGTCGCTCAAAAAGTGCACATTTTGCAATGACGGTAGGAAACCTCCTGAATAGGGCCCCATTTGACAGCACTCACTGTCGTTGCCCTGCTTAGCATCTCATGGATTATTCCTGTGAAAACCAAAGTTTGTCAATGAAATTCACTGAAGGAAATAAACAGGATTTATCAGTCTGGGAGTGAAAATGGTGGTTGGATGGGCCCCCAATGAATTTTGCCTATGGCCCCAACAAACTGTAGAATCGCCACTGAATAAATGTTTTATGTCCTACCTGCAGTCAAAGATGGCTTTCTTTCACTATCAAAGTTTTAGATGCCTGAAAGAGTGTTAAGCTTCGAGACCTGCATGCGGCAACCTTCAGGGTTGAAAATGAAGCCAATGCGGAAGTGCAAAAAAACTACAGATCCTCGAGTTTCCACTTGAGGCTAGCAGCAAAAATAAAGATGACTCAGCTCTTTTATCCTGTCTCTACAATTGACTGAAAGTTAGTATGAGACAACATTTTTAGAAATAGCCACCGCCGTCTTTGGGTTAAGAAACTTTTGTAAATATAATTTAGCTGAGATGATCTTTTTCACAAGTATTGTTACTGACGGGATAACCATGTAGACTGAAGAGTGGGAAAACTGTTTCTTTTCTCTGTGATTTCTTCTTTGATAAATCACCTCCACATGTTTTAGAGGTTCATTTGGTTTTCATCCAAAATCAGCTACATGCTCTTATGCTCTATTAGCACATACTGCATATCAGGAGCTCCATTAACCCAATCAATGATACATCTAGGAATTCATCTATATTTTACATCTAGGAATGAAAGATAAAATTGAAATAAAATCGTCCTCATAAAACCAAACTAGACCTTTCAGACGGTCATAAAAACAGGGTGTAGATGGTTTTCTCATGCCAGACGTTTTAAAAACCACAGACGTCGTTTTAAATAGGAAATGGTCCTCTGCACTTCCCCTCTGAACTGCTCAGCTGCACATTAGCAAGACTAGAATAACCTTAACAATTTAATGACTGCAAATCGTGTCTTGCCAATTAAGCTTCATAATGAGCTGCAAATCATATCAGTAAAACCTCAAATCAATTGTTTGTCAAACTTTTGTTTTCAACTGCGTTCATCATTCCGTTTCAGCTCCCATAGATCTGATAGGCGGAAATGATTTGCTCAAATATTTGTGAAACAGCAACTGAAAAATGTGTTATTCTACCAACATGATATGAGTAAAATCTCGCATAAATTACATTTTCTAATTTTGTATGGCTCTTATGTAAGCCCAGGTGTGCACAGTTCCTGCAGCATCCATCTGGCAGACCTAACGAGGCAGGATGGTAATTATTCCGCCGTCCGGCTGGAGATCAAATCAGCTTCCACATCAGGGCCTCGGAGGAGTTCTTCTGTATCTTCTCTGCAAAGAGTCATTTCCAAATTTAACTTTTGACACGTCGATACTGCTACACCTGCCACAAATACACAAACACTTCAACAGTCATTTGTTGCTTTTTTTTCATCTTTACTAATCCGAGGTTCAATCCCTTATTGAACAGTGTTGGAACAATGCCAAGGACTGCTTTTGTCATGATCTGACATCTCAAAGAGCATGATGGGTGGGTAATCCGCCCTCGTTGTTTTAAAGGGCAGTCATTTTGGATTACTGCTTTTCTTGGTGTCACCTGTTAAGAGAATTCCCACTGTTTCATTGTGGAGTTTAATATCAGCAACAACATTGGAGATGATTTTAATTACCTTTCCAGCATAACAACACTCCTAACACTGCAAGAGGTCCATTCAATGGTCTTCTAATGCTTTTAGCTTATTTCCTGAACACAACAGGAGAAGGTGTGACTCAAAAACAACTCGACGTGGTCAATTCGGGGCGGCCGAAATAATATAAAAGCAGACGATAAGACTTCAGAGTCAGAAGAAAGACGCTCTGAAAGAAATCTCATTCAAGAAGACATTGCACTGCACCTCCGGAAGATCTTCACCATGAGACCCTCGGTCATGCCGGTCATCTTTGCAGCAACGCTCATATTTGAGTGCTATGCTCTGTCTGTGGCGTTACCCATGGCAAAGACTGAAGACAGCTCCTTGGAACAAGACTCTTTCACCTCTCTGCTGAATGACGAGATGACGGAAAACAGCCTTGGCGACGTAGATCTGACTGCTGCCGGCAACACCAGAGGCCAGCGGGTGATCGTCATTGCCGATCCAAGCCTGTGGAGGGACCTGAGGGCGCTGCACGGCGGATTTCCCCTCTACAAGCGCAGAGCTGACGACAACAGCCAGGTCATTGAGCACAGAGGAACTAACCAGGACCTGAACATTCCCATCCTGAGGAGGGACACCATGAGGTGCATGGTGGGACGGGTGTACCGGCCCTGCTGGGAAGTCTGATACTGTTTGAGCTTCTCGTAAAGGTGCCAATGCAGAGGAGTGCTGCGTCATCCTTCCTGTATCATAATCCAAATCTATGTATCTATATCTAAAAAATGCAGATTTGAAAATTAAAGTCATTTAATTCTGCCTTATGTCTCGTGCATGTTTACTTCTAAATTCTTACATATTGCAGGGATGATGTTGGTTCAGATAGAAGGTCTCTGTTACTTTTCTTTCTGTGTATGAATCCAAAAAGTGATTTAAACACGGGGACTGAAAAGTGTGCTGTTTTGTGACAGACTGGTAGCAGAGAAAGGGCTGGCTTTGCTATGTGGCTTGAAGGTAGAGATCATTGTTCTGGTTCAAATAATACTTCAGTGCTGTATTATATGATATATGTATACGTTTTTACATGGGACACCGTGAACTCCTGGGCAAAAAAAGGAGAAAAAAACAATTGGTGTGCACCAACTTCTATGTTGTAGAAAACATACATCCTGGTGAATCTGCCTCTCTTTTTTGGATTCCCAACAATATACAGCAGTATTTGCTGGAGTAACATGTTGTTTCAGGCTTCAGTTTGGCTTCTCCTGAAGGTATTTTGGTCTGTTAGAACAAAAACATCTGTGATGGGAGAAGTTGCCCGATAACCCCGGTGACTTGCCAACTTTCAGCGGCTCCCCTTCCTTCTTTGATTACAAACAGGTTTCTACTTAAGAATAAATTACATCAGTTCCTGTATACTGGTAAATGACTGCTGTTTGTGGCCTCCTGCCTGTAGAACAAAGACAGGTTCATTTGAGAGTATTTCTCATCTTCCAATAGAACTGAGGTGATTGTAATAATGCCAGAGCATGAAGTGCTTTTCTTGACTTTGCAGATATGTTGTGCACATCTGTCTTCATCCAGGCATAATATAAAAGAGAAATGGCCTCAGTGGTTGATACACAACAGTAACAGATAGTTTGGCTGATTATAGCTGTAGCAATTGGCATGCTTAATGCAGCTTAAAATGATTACCCATAGTTACTACTAATGGGGGTTTGGGATTTCTTTTAAGTAAAAAAAAAAAATCAGAAATCTTATTTAAGTACCCAATCCTTTGTTATCTTAAATAAAACATTTTGAAAGATATTTTTGGCTATTTTTGCCTTTTTTGGGCAGCTGAAGAGAAACAGGAAATGTTGGGAGGAGAGGGGGGGGATGACATGCAGCAAAGGGCTGAGGTCGGATACAGACCCACGGCCGCTTCAGTAAGGACTGTAGCCTCTGTACATGGGGCACGCAACATAACGTCTAAGCTATCTGGCACCCCTCATTTGTTATCTTTTTGGACATCTAATAAGTGTCACCTTCATTGATAAAAAATTCTAGAGTAACATTTCTCTTCCATCCTGTTTCTACCTTTCCATTTTTATTTACAGCCTTTCTGTTTAGTTGTTGTCTCAGCCAATAGAGTAACACTCATGACTGATTCTTTTAGTTGTCTTCAAACCAGAAATGATCGATCAAGCCTTCAGTTGTGTCAGCACATGATTGTGATCTATATGTAGAAGATGATGCCCAATACCACTGCAAATGTATTTCACTTGCCACAATGCGGTGAAGTTGTAAAATGTGACTACTTGGGGAGAAAAAAACGATTCTGATGCTAAATTGTTGTGGGTCAGTCAAAGTCTGCAGAACATTCCTGACAAAGTACAGAGTGAGAGCAGTGAGTCAGCAGAAAGGAGGACGTGTTTCTGGGAATGTCGACACCTTTTTGGTATTCCGGCGTAAGCTGCTGGTTGGAAAATCTATTAATCTGAGGACGTCTGCAGACATCCAGCATGTGAACAATGTAATGCTTACTCAAAACACTGACAAAACGACTTACTCACAGCCTTTAGTTTGGAAAATCGTAGTACTTTATAAGTATAAACCACTCTTTAATATCCTGGTTGACAATATGATCACAGGTTCTGCAAAGTGAAATCCTTTAATATTAATGGAAATTAGATGAAAATGTTGGTAATGGTTTTCCCTGAAAGAGAAGAACAGAGTTTTACTGACCATGAGGATACAAATGATTTGGAGTCCTGTTAATGGACCGCCTCTGGGGATGGCAGGGATGTTTTGGTCAGACTCCGAGTCCTCCTCTTTTATCCAGATGGAAAAATCTCCATAGCTACCTGATGGATTATCATGTTATTTTGTACAGACGTTCATGGATCCCAGGGGATGTTCAACTATGTGAGCTAGGGTTCACGTTACACAAATAGTATTTTTTTTAGATACCAGCTTTATCTGTTTTACAAAAAAATTGCTTTCATTTTAGGACATGGCTTAACTGTTTTTTATAGACCTTCATGTGGCATGTGACTTTAAGGTGTAGCAATATTGGTCAGTTGTTCAGTCAGACCACCAGACTGACTATTTATCTAATTCCGACGTTACACACTGCCACTGTCTCAACACCATCTGCCTCGTTGTGTTACACATTGAAGATAAGATATAACAGGGGATGGTTATGTTACCTTGATCTGGCGATGTATAAGGGGCTGATGGGTGACATGATGTGTAAGAAGAACTGTGCAACACAACCTATTTCCAACAAACAGAAATACCTACCACAGTGTGCTTAGGGCTACAAAAATTGTTTCATACTGCTCCAGGCCCTTGGCATTAAAAACCCTAACCCCCTAACCGTCCTTGCTATGACTCGTAGCAAGGACGGACTTTTGGAATTCACAAAAAACCTCATAAAACTCATAAGAAAATGCAATTGAGATAAACGCTTTATGGGAAGGTGTTTTGTTTTTTACCGATAAGAGTGGAAAAGCAACATCTGGTAACAGTTCAACCAGAGACTGGGATACGTTCTTTTTTTCAAATCAGTTGTTGGTTTAAGATTTTCTTCAATTGATCTCCCGACACATGTAATCTGTCAACAAAACAAAACAAAACAGAAAACAGCAGCCTGCTTGAGCTTTAGATGTTAAATGGTCAAGCATTCCAATTGTTATCTTTCATCCATCCATTATCTTTTAACGCTTTTTTCCCCTCGGGGTGGTGGGGGGGCTGGAGCCGATCCCAGCTGTCATTGGGCAAGAGGCGGGGTACACCCTGGACTGGTCGCCAGTCTATCACAGGGATGCTTTTCCTTTTGTAAAGTGTCTTGAAATAACATTTATAATGAGTTGGGACTATACAAATAAAGATGGATTGATTGATTGATTGATTGATCATAAATTGGACCATAAAACATTTTCAAACACTTGAGACCATAAACTCATTAGAAATGTTTTACTGGATAATAACTGAAGTGAGAAGTAGGGTCATTACTCCAAATAGTGAAGATGCTCCATGCTGGTCATTATAAAAATGCATATTTCAAGCCACCTTTTATTGATTTTATGTCTTAGACATCGAGGCTTTGTCTGCTTTTTATCCAAATGTTATGATAAAATGAGTACGATTGGACTAAAAACATTCAAAGTGAACTAGTCATGACATAACTGCAGCAGCAGCCTAATCAAGGTCATCAATTATCGATGATTTCCCACTAAGATTTTGTTCTACACTTCATCACAAACGTTTAACCCAACACTGCTACAGCTAATCAGCGACTAAAAGGCACTTTGTATCCTCTGCAGGGAGACATTGTTAGCCTTTCTTTCCTTGCCTGTCTTTCTTGTGGATGAATAGCACTATTAATAGCAAAGGAGCAGCAGGAGAAAGGTTGGCTATTCATTGAAACTGTCTTGGACTTCATTATCAAAGGATGGAGAGCACAGCTGGGCTTGTCTGCTTCATGCTACACGCTTCTCAGCCCCCTTTAAACCGAAACAATTCCACCTAAGGCGAGGAGGTTTTCTGACAGTTGAATTCATTTGATGAAGATTTAATGAAGGTGATTAAAAGAAAGAATTAGTGTTAAAGTGTTTTTGGCTATGAATAAAGTATTTATAAAAAAAAAGAAGGTGTTTTTGGAGGGCAGCTTGTCAGGAAAATTTGAATCAGGGACTCTGGAGATGTAATGTAAGTGTGCAGCTGTGCCACAAGGCAGGATATAAAAAATCATGTATAAACACTTTGCTGCATAAATGCATGACGACTTAAATAATCAAAATGTAAGAAGGTCATGATTCATTTTCAGGTAATGTATTGAATGTTTCAGAGGAGAAATTAACGTGTAATCAGTTTATATTGCACTGAAAACCTCTAAGCTGAAGTGTCGTCTTAATAAAACTCAGAACATTCGCCATGGCAACAAGCCCCTGAATGGAGGATGGATGTTGTCGATTGTCTCTGTTGCCGCAGAAGTAACAGTGTTTGCAGGCACAAGGTTAAAGTAGACAGAGTGTGCACAATATCCTTCCAATTTTATTAGAAACTGTATTTCATATTAATAGCAGTGTTAGTAACGTGCTGGTAAGCCATTTGATGTTGATGGGTCGGAAGATTTGGGATGTTTTAAAGCTTCACAGTAAGTGATGGAAAGTGGCTATGGGAAAATTACAACTCATATTAAGTAAAAAAAACAATTAGTCTCGTAAAGTGTGTCCTTCAATCTGGTGCATGGTGGGTAAAACAAGGTCCAAAATGTAAGATATCTACATAATTAAATCATAAAATGACCTTACTATATAATCAGACTTTAAGGAAACATGTTATGTTGAAATGCTGGCTTCTCTGACAACAATGCAGCAGCCAGTCCTCCATAAATGGTCTGTATTGTTTAGATCAGAGAAGGATGGCAACCCCACTTGGCCCTTTTGCCCCTTGCCCCTGGATTTGCCAGATACAAGACCAGTTATCACAACAAACCAACAGGTGTTGCAGAGATGGAAGCGGGCAAGAGAACTAGTTCAGATAGAACTGATTCAACCCGACTTAAAACGCATTCTGCACGTTTCCAATAAGCTCCACGAGCAGAAATGTGGTAAAACTAGGATAAATATTGGAAATGTTTTGAAAGAAGAAGATGCAGAACAGGCTAAACACTGAAGCTTCATTGTACACGACACAGCAACCTGTGCACATTTCCGCAAACTGTGGCCCAATATCTCAAAACTCTAAAAACAAACTGAAAAGAGTGCATTAATCAGGCAAAATCACTCCACAAATGCATAATGTTTCACATTTCATAATGGAACGACACTCAA